CTGTCATAGGCTAGGCAAAGGTTAACAAATACTGCTTCACATGCCCACTTCAAGACTAACTAATATTCAAATATTCTCATCACAATTATATATGATGCATCAGAATAGAATCAAAGTTAAAACAAAGCAATATTATCTGAATAAAGAGAATCAGCCATGAACTAAAAAATGAACATCAAATGACCTGGTACATTTGAGAGTTTAAAGAAATTATAAGAGCAGCATCTGAAAACCAGTCAGAACAAATAACATGAAAGCAGTTCCCCTCAAACTCTGCCACAAGACACATAAAAGCAAGCATTGAAGAGAGATAGAGAGAGAGAATACTGTAAAAACAGAAGCTTAAATTACAAAAGTTTTAAACCCAATTTCCCCAAATAAGAAGACACAAAAGAACCCCAGAAACCCCATCAAACATTTTAAAGCATATCCTGAGATAATTTATTATGGGAAAAAAGTCAACCTAGCAATTAAAACTAAAAGTAACTTTAAAAGTTTTCTTCTTTTCCCCTGTGATCATTATTATTATTTAGTATCAATAGTTCAAGCTAACCCCAAAAGAAAACTGAAAGGAGCTAAACAAAACCTAAAAAAGAATTAAAGCCACTATACAACATTATAGAAGAAAGAACTCCAGCATATTGATGGTCTAAAGACTTACGGAGCCATCCAACGATATGTCCCTGTCTCTGGTGTCATTCCCTCAGTCTGCACCTCAATACGGGCAACACCAAAATCTGCAATTTTTATTGACCTATCAGCAGCAATTAGAAGGTTATCAGATTTCAAATCCCTGTGAATAAACCCTAGCCCATGCACATATGCCATCCCTCTAGCAACATCCAATGCCTGCTTAACTGCTAGTTTCAATGGTACTGCCCGATTCTGCCTTTTCATTAGAAACTGCCGGACTGACCCTCCCTTTGCATACTCAGTAACAATGCACCAGACCATTGGCTTTCGGCATGCCCCAATAAACCTCACAATATTTGGATGCTTCAGCGTTGCAAGCATCATAACCTCCTGTTGAAATTGTTGCTCCATAACTTGTGCCTTCTCGGGACTATTTTCTGGCCTCTCCAGTATCTTAATGGCAACATCCTCTCCATTATATGTCCCTCTATATAACTTCCCAAAAGCCCCTTGGGCAAAAGCCATACCCATATTAAGTTTTCTCAAATCAATGGTCCATTCGTCATAATTGTCCAAACCCTGAGTTGGGTATTTATTATCCATTAACGCTTGTGCCAATGCATCATCATTAAGTGCATGGCCAACCTTACCTGGACGAAACACACTCTGACCCACGGAAGGAACAGAGAAATGGTAAGGCTTCACAGGCTTTAGACCAGGGTGGCTTAAAATGTGGGTTAGAGAATCATTAGATCCCACGCTACTGTTGTCCACAGACATTGAGACAGACCCACCAGCATTACTTGTTTGCAAACTGTCAATGGACATATTTGTACCCTCACCAAGCTTTTGGTAAAAGCCTTGAGTGAAATCGTAGTAATTATTATCATTGTTATTTTCTCCACCCATGAGTCCAGTAAATTTAGGACCCTCCACCATTTTCCCAATCATATGGAACCGCCAACTAAAAACAAAGGGCAAACACTTCTCCTTAGCTCAAACTCTTGACACTCATTCGATGGTGCAGCAATCTCTTCAGGATGTGCCCTAAAAGCAACAAATATAAAATCTTCAACAAGTTAGAGTTTGACATTAAATAAACTTCTATCTCCACTTTCTTCTTTTCTTGTATGATTACATTCAACCTCAGTTTATTTTCTCAACAAATTCAGCTCATAACTTCATAGACAAATAGAAATGACTAAAAGATAACAGTACATTTAGAAACCTATAGAGTTTCCATTAGCAACCAAGAAAACATATTATAGCTACATTTGGTCAACTTTAGATAATTAAGACATTATCTAACCCCATTCTTAGATATCTAGAAAATTTCCTAAAAAAACCATCAAGAGATTAATTGAAAATAACCTCTAGAAATGCGCTGTCAACTTAATCCCGTGGGTTTTAATGTTTTGAAAAAACAAAATAGGTTTTTTCTTCAGCATCCAAACGCTTTTGGATGTCTCCAGCATTCAACAATTCACAAATTAATTTCCGTAGGAAAAATGAATTCCTTTCAAAACCCTAGAAACAAAATCATTCCAAATACCAGGCTCTTGCCAATCATTTTAGGTTGAAGGAATACAACATATACCCATATAGGAAATATCAAAGCATCCTTGATAACCGAGAAAGTTCTGTAAAAGTAAGAAGCCATAAAAGACTGAAACTAAACTTTTTATGGCTGAAACTAAACTTTCTTCACTATAATTTCACAGAAGCCTTAATATGAAAAAACGAAAAAAGAGTAAAAGAAATTCCCTCTTAGAAGACCCAATTACTTCAAAAGATTATGCATGGAAACTACATATTTAACTAGAATTGAACGATTCTAGCAAATTGAGCAACACCAGAATCAGAAATTCCCTATTACCCAAACAGAAAAAGTAACTTTCTTTCTTAGAATCTCCTTTGTGAATTCCTCATCCTTCGCAATTGAAATAATACGTTAAAGATAGTAACAAACAAACAAACAAAAAAAAAAAAAATCAAAACTCGAAATACAGAAGTAGAGGAACAGATCAGATTGCACCAACCCTATAAAAATCAGAAAAATCGCGTAAAATTGCAGGAAACGACCGAAATTTTACAGAAACAACCGATCAAGACGCTGATTTTGGAGGAAATTAATTATCCGAAATGCATACCTCAAATTTCACATAGAGGCGGCAGAGGAAGTTCGGAGAGCTGCCGATCGAGAGGATTGATTCGACGAATTTCGTGAAGGAGGTGGAAGAAGATAAGGAAGAGGCAAAGTGAAGAAGACGAAGGGGAAGAGGAAGAAGAAGAAGAGGAGCAGTCTACGCTTCTCGTTTTACTTTCAAAGCCTCGTGTTTATTGTAATTCAGAACAGACTTTCTGTTACTCGAGCGAGTACGGTCATCTGGTGCACTCGCTGCCTCCCTTGTACACGTGTCTACATTGACTTTTTTCTTTTTAATTTTCCTCTAAAACGCGTGAGGGGCTGAAGGCTTTGTGGAATACTTGTCCTTCTTTTGTATTTTTGATAAACATATGTCCTTTATTATCTTTTATTTATTTTAAGTACATTTTTTTTTTTCTAGATGCATGTTTTGTTTTATTAATTAACAGTTTAACACCATGCCTTTGGTGCTTGTAAAATTTTAATATTTTCTACAAAATATCTATGCTAAGGTCCCATGATCTTCAATTGATTGAGAAAAAGGTCCTAAAATATTCACTAGAACCTGGAAACTAAGGGGCAATCTTGAGGCTTTAATTGCAGCTTTAGAAGTTCATGTAATAGTCGGAACTGGCATCCTATATCTGTGCAGTCACCTGGATACGGTATTCTAGATCTAGTTAACTCCGAAGCTCTCCGGCTTTACGAGAAGTTAGTAGCCATGATGGTTAAAATTTCATGCAGTTGCTGGAGGTTGTGTCCATTAAATCTTTTCCTGGGTCTTTTGTGATTCAAGCGATGCAGGAAGCTGATGTATAGATGTCACTACTCCTTTTTGTGCCGCATTTGCTTGAGCTATGGTTCTACTGAGGTGGCAACGAGCTCTAGCCACCATCGCAGATGATGCAGAAGTTGCTTCTGCCTTTCTTTGGACCTGCATACGAAAACAAATCAATTCATCGTCCATCCTCCAAATGCAGACCTCAAGCACAACTATAAAGATCACAGTACTCAACCCTTCAAAATTATTGGGGTATTGGGGGATGGATGGAAACAAGAATTGGGAACAACCAATGCTTGTGATAGAATAGTTAACATGCTAAAACTAAACCTCAACAATTGAAATGGGACTGTTGGCGACTCTCTTACCATTGTTTCAGGCCACCTATTGGGATTTAGGAATCCTAGAATGAATTATATGTAATACAGCATCATATCAGTTGGCGAAACACACTGAAAAACAGACTCACATACCAAGCGGTTTCTGTGCTTGCTTTATTTTTCTAAAACTACTTTAAAGTAGGCAGTTCACAGTCAAACTGAAAATATGCTAAAACATAAATTTTCATACTAAAACATGGAGTGTAAAGACAGCTAGCTTTAACATGCAAGTATGGCTGGAGGGAGTGGCTGTGGAAATGACAATTAGCACCCCTTGACCAAATGCTGCATTTTTTTAACCAAGATCACAAAAATATGGAGCCTCAATCAGATGATTCAGATCTAAGTTGTATGGAGTTAAAGAAAACCAGATTTGGGATTTCTACCCCAACGAAGTTAAAATGTCTTCAGAGTTAAACGCTTGCCTTCACAGTTCTCAAGAGAAATGTTGATCCACTTAAAGCAATTGCCTTGTCAACAGACTCCTTAGTAGCAAAAGTAACATAAGCAGACCTACAAAGACAATACATCTTTAAAGTGATCAGAACATGATAGATACACAGACAAGAAATGACATACTTGAAACATGTTCCCCTTCAAAAACAAATAGCTTAGCTGAATAAATGACAAGCTACCCTTTTGGCCGGCAAGTGTCCTTGTCAGTCAAAATGACTGCGTTGACAACCACTCCACATTTGTTGAAGTACGATACTAAAGCTTGCTTTGTTGCTGCAAAATGTACCTAATAATTTTACAATGATAAATGACGTACTCATTATCAAACACACTAGGCATAAAAAACCAGATTTAAGATCAACAGTAAGAATAAAGAAAAAGTTCAAAAACTTTTGCTAAGGAATAAGTACAACTTGTTCTTGCAATTTTTCAAAGAGTACTTAGCTTCTTCTGGAAATAAATTGAAATTTTGAAATTTAGAAGATTCACCCTATCATCTGAAAATCTTCAAAGCTCAGTAGAATATAGGAAGATAAAAGATTATCCTATCACTGAGATTCCAATTATCCACCTAACCCATTTGTTGTTAGTTAACCTAAGTGATGCTCAAGTGTTATCCTTCCCAAGTTCAAATCACTTTCATAATTGAAGTAGTAGCCTGAACCTGAAGCGATAGAAAAACTTAGCCTATACCCGAGCAATAGAAAACTGCATTGGATATTTATAGCCCCACTTACCTAAACAAGCAACAGGTTTCTAAGAGAATAATTTATTTCTATGCTACCGTGGAAAAGAAAGAGTTGCCAAGAAACAAAAGAAACAGGGATAAAGCAGAAAAAACAGGTTCAATGTGATTACATTTGAGACAAATACAGTTCTGGAGTCAATATCTCCATTTGGATGCTTCATCGAACCTGCAAAGTCATGAGAGAATAAAATTCAGACACACAGTACAAATGAGGCCCAAAGAGAAACCAGTTGTCAGATATTTCAGATAGATAAAAGGCAAGCTCAAATGCTTCAGAAAAATTACATTTTTTATAGAAATGGCTAGTGAGCCAAAAAAAATGAAGTTATAGAAAGCACATCACCAGAATTTGAGGATAATGTTGCTTTCCCATCATTCTCCTTCTTCAACTGCTTTGCTCGAACCTTTAACATCTCAATTTCAACTTGGCACAGTCTTTGCTTCACATCAAGAACTTCCTACAAAAAGAAAGGTTTTCCTAATTCAAGCCATCACCCGCAAAAAGTCCTACCTAACAAATTACATGCTTTTTTTTAATGAATACTTAGTGAACCACATTCAATACAATACTTCTAGAGAAAAGGATTAAAAAAACTATTTCATCTAGTCCTGCTATCACGATTGACAAAGATTAAGCGGGCAAAGAGCTTACAGAAATAAGATTTGGAGAGGTTATGAGGTTCTTGGTGATCAAATTCGGTTTCTTCAAATCCTGTGAAGCTTCTTTGCATTGACTATTCACATTCTTCTCGGAAGCTGAAGAAACTAAATCCATAGCAGGGCAAGTGCTAATCTCTTCAAAATGTCTCTTTCCCCTAATATTACTCCCAGTAAGCTGTTGACAAATTGCACTTGCACCAGGATTTGGCATCCTACTCTTGATAGTATTGCTCCCACCAGACCCATTACCAAGACTGGAAACTTGCCTGGGGGTAATCAAGCCAACTTCACCATTCCACAAAGGAAATATTGGAGTATGTGGGGCAAGGACTTCTTGTTTCCAGACACAAGCATCTTGTAGCTTGGTAACCCTGCTGCTGGCAGATATATCCTCACATGGCTTGCCCAATCTATCCCAAACACTGCCCCGGGGCTTTTCATTCTGTAGGGATACTGCACCAACTGATGTCAGTGACAGACCACTTCCAGAAACTTTAGTGGCACATGTTTGTCTGGATGTAGGGTATTCTACATCCACTTTAACCGTCAAATCCCAAATATAACTATCGATTATGATCAGAATAGGAATTGGCAAAGGATCTTGCTTTTGCTGATCATGAAAATTGGAACTTCTGTTGAAAATTAGGGTTTTAAATTGGGGGAAAGGTGTAAATTTCCGACCGTTGAAGATGGGATTGGCGGGAAGCCGAGAATCGATCAATGTGTTTCTATTTATCCTCCTGTATATATCGGCAGTAAAAACTAGAACCCATTCTTCTCTCAAACTCTGCGATTTCTCCGATACAGATTTCCAAAACCCCTCACACCCATCTTTCTCATTTCCTCTTTTAGCATCAACCTCATCGCTATCGCTCGCCTTCTGCATTTTCCTCAGCAGGTGAGATGCCCATCTTGAAATCTGTCTTGTTCTTCAAACCCCATACCCCATTGATTTCAAGACTTCAAGAGATTGCAGTGGTTTTTCTTGAATGGAATTATGCTTACCCACCCTTTTGTTTTTTTTTTTTATTATTATTGCTTTAGGCTTCCTTTACGCTGCATCTTCCTGATCAGGTGAGAGGCAAATCTTTCTTGTCCCCCAAACCCCATATCCCCATTGGCTTCAAGAATTCATGAGATTTCTGTTTCAGTTTATTGCTTTTT